GTACATTTGGATAATGAAGCCTACCTTGGTTAGAGATTGGGAGGATTCATGGCAAATACATGGCAGGTGCCAGGCACCTAGAACTAGGTGTTGAGATGTACATAGAATCTGCCAATAAAGTTTGCTCCCCGCAGTGTCTCCTCTGCAGAATGAGTTTTGGCTTCTATCTACTCCAGTTTCTTTTTTTTCTTTACATCCATAGATTAAAACTCATTGACTAGTCTTCTGTTTTATTCTTCTGTTAAAGTACTGTAGTATAGTAATGTCCATTGCACCATGCATCTCCCAGTGGAGTCATGTTTTAAACTCAAAGCAAGATGAGGGAAGGTATATATTTCTTACTATATTTTTTCTTTTGAATTTTGTACTGTGTACATATATTTTTCAGAAAGTACAGATATTTATAAAATGCACTCAAGGAAAGTATGTTGTAAACATACCTTATCAATTAAATGATTGTCTTGTCATATTTATCAAAATGCCACCCTTGAAATATAGACGTTAGCTCAGGAGAGACAATGTCATTGGCTCCAGACCACCCTAATAAAGAAAATATTGCAATATAGTGAGTCACATAATTTTTTTTGGTTTGTATATAAAATGTATGTTGGCAGTATGCTATAGTTTATTTGTGAAATATCTACAATATGCATTATGTCTAATAACACAATGAACATACCTCAATTTAAAAATATTGCTTGAAAATCCAATCGCCTGTGCCTTCAGTGAGTTGCAATAGGTTTGCTGGTGGACATTGCTGATGGTGGGGGTGGCTGTGCAATTGCTGAAAATCGGGCAACAATGAGTTTGCCACATCAACGATTCTTCCTCCCAGGTTTTCCTGCAATAGGCAATGCTAGCTGGTAGCTTTTCGTTCACAGAACTTGTTTCAAATTTGCAGACAATGTCTCAAACCCTGCCATTACTTTCCCAGGTTGATGGAATATGTTCAATCCTCTGGCATATCGACAATATTTCTAGCATCTTCACCCTAAGTCACTTCTGTATCGAGAAACTACTCTCATTTCAGGCATGGAAAGCCAAGACACTGTGGCAAAAAAATGACCTAAATGAAAGATCTCTGTGAGTGGTCCCAGTGGAAAGAACGGGCCATCAAAGAAGGAGGCACCTTTCTCTGAAGGGAAGAGAGAACTTCCACTTTGACTATGGCCTTGTCTGAATAAGATTGGAGTTGGTGAACTCAAAAGGCTTCCATAGCCTTGGCAGCTCATGACAAGAGCCTCGGGTGATTACTGACATCATAAATAAGAGTGTCAACTATTAAATCAACAACAGGAGTCACTGTGCACTTAGTCCTCATGTCGGATCCCTGTCCTTAATGCGTTGTACAATGTGAATTAATGCTATAACTAGTACTGAAACAGTACTTTACACTTTGTGTTTCTGTGTGGTTGCAAACTGTTGAAATCTTTACTTAGTATATACTAAATATCTTCTGTATATAAAGACAATTGGAAATGAATCTTGATATGAATGGGATGGGAGAGGGAGTGGGAGATGGGATGGTTGTGGGTGGGAGGGAGGTTATGGGGAGGAAAAAGCCACTATAATCCAAAAGTTGTACTTTGGAAATTTATATTTATTAAATAAAAGTTAAAAAAAGAGAGAAATTACTCTCAATGCTCCTTCACAAATAGAACGCTTTAACTCTTGGCTTGTTGAACGTTTTTACCCCGAGATTGCATCAGTTGAGTCACGTCTTCAGGCTCCACTTCAACTCCAGTTCTTTCTCTGTTTCTGCCTCATCTGCAGGTACTTCCTCACTTCAGTCTTGTTCTCCTCAAAGTCATTCATGAGGGTTGGAATCGATTTCTTCTGAACTGTTACTGCTATTCTAACATCCTCCCATGAGTCATGAGCGTTCTCAATGGCGAATCTTTTCCTAAGGCCTTTTTTCTTTTTTTTTTTTTAACTTTTATTTAGTGAATATAAATTTCCAAAGTACAGCTTATGGATTACAATGGCTTTTTCCGCCCCCATAACTTCCCTCCCACCCGCAACCCTCCCAACTCCCGCTCCCTCTCCCATTCCATTCACATCAAGATTCATTTCCAATTATCTTTATATACAGAAGATTGATTTAGTATATATTAAGTAAAGATTTCAACAGTTTGCACCCACACAGATTACTTAGCCAACATCATTTACTTTGCCAAGAATCACCACCTATGACAGCTATCGTCTTACAAAATGTATTTTTAAAAATAAAACATGCAATTCCTCCTCACACCATGAGCTTCAGGATGTATATCGTGTTAGCAGGATTGAAAACACGACTCTCGTATGTCTCCAGCAGAACTCGGGAGTGACCAGGTGTGTTGCCAGCGAACAGTCACATGTTGAAATAAATTTCTTTTTTCTGGCCTCAACAAGTGGGCTTAAAATACTCAGTCAGCCATGCTGTGAACAGACGTGCTGTCATCCAGGCCCTGGGGTTCCAGTTACAGAACATGGATAGGGTGGACTCCGCACGATCCTGAAGGGCCCGGGGGTTTCAGACTGGGAGCTGGGCACTCCAGCTGCGTTAGTCTGAGAGCCAGTCTGTCCTCTGAACCTCTGAAGCCTGGCAGGGACTTCTCCTCGCCAGCTGTGAAAGCCCCGGATGACCTCTTCTCCCAGCAGAAGGCCTCACCGTCTGCCTGGGCGGATCCGTCGCTGCCTTCCTCGCCTGCCCCAGGTGGATCCGGCCGACGACTTGCTGCGGCTCCTGCCCCAGCCCTTGCTCCTGCCCGCTGCCCTTGTGTAGCTTACGTCGGCCCCTTTTCTTAAGCCTCCCGGAGCAACCTGTGCTGGCGTCAGACTTTCCCTCTGCAGGTGTCTCACCTTTCTCAACCTTCACAGAATTGGAGAGTCAGGGCTTGGCTCTGGATTAGGTTTTGGCTTAGGGAAATGTGTGGCTGCTTTGATCTTCTATCCAGACCACTAAAACAGTTTCCTTATCGGCCATGAGCTGTTTGCCTTTCTTATCATTGGTGTGTTTATTGGAGTAGTACTTTTAATTTCCTTCAAGAGATTTATTTTTGCATTCAAGACTTGGATAACTGGAGTAAGGAGCTGAGCTTTTGGCCTTTCTCATCAACTTTCAACCTAGGCTTTCTTCACTAAGCTTAGTCATTTCTAGCTTTTGATTTAAAATGGGACACAAGGGACGCCTCCTCATACTTGAACACTTAGAGACCATGGTAAGGTTATCAATGGCCTCAATTCATCTCAGGGAGAAGGGTAGGCCCTGGGATAAGGAGAGAGAGGGAGAGAAAACAGCCAGCTGGTGAAGCTGTCGGGGCACATTTGTGTAAAGCTATTGCTTATTTTATTTGAAAGAGAGACAGAAATAGAGATGGTCCGTTCACTCCCGTGTGTGCACAGGAGCCAAGGCCAGAGGAAGTGGAAGCTAGGAGCCTTGCAGAGTGCACATTGGCAGGAAGCGGGAATGGAGGGCTGCCCTGGGACTGGAACGCCAGCACTGTGACGTGGGTGTGGACATCCCGAGTTGCTGGCTTCACCACTGCCAAATGCCCACCGCCCCAGCAACATTTTTGTTTTTAATATCTTAAAGATTTATTTATTTCAAAGAGCTACAGAGAGACAAGGAAAGACAGAGATCTTCCATTTGTTGGTTTACTTGTCTGCAATAGCCAGGGCTGAGCCAGACCAAAGCTAGGAGCTTCCTTCAGGCCTCCGACGTGGGTGGCAGGGACCCAAACACCGGGGCCATCTTTTGCTGCTTTTCGCAGGCCATTAGCAGGGAGCTGGATTGGAAGCGGAGCATCCGGGACACAAATGGGCCTGCATATGGGATGCAGCTTTACTCGCTATGCCACAATGCTGGCCCCAGGCAACATGTATCTAACGTTCACCTTTATATATGAGTGTAGTTTGTGGTGTCCCAAAAACAATTAGAACAGCAACATCAAAGATCACAGGTCACTGTAACAGGTATAATAATAAGTTTTAAATATTGTCCTAATTACCAAAATGTGATTCAGAGACGTGAAGTGAGCGTGTGTTGTTCAAAGTGGCAGTGCCGGATCTCTTTGATGCGTGGTTGTCACAGTCCTTCAATTTGTAAGAAAAAAATGCAATATCTGGAAAGCTCAGTAAAGGAAAGCATACAAAAAGAGGATGCCTTTACAGGTATTTTAGGGTTGGTAAGCTCCTTAGCAGTCAGGCTGATGTCCTGTGACATATTTAGTACTTAGAAATATTTTTATCCGAGGAGTTTTTGTGCAATAAACTATCACCAGCAAAAGACTTTCTGCAGACACCAACAGGCACCCCCCCCAAAAAAAAACAGTCTCAGGCACCCAGACCCCCAAAAACCAACTTGCCACTTGGTATATAGCCAAGTGTATCCTTAACTAAGATACAGTTGATTTAATGATGAAACAAAGTTTCAGACCTGTCCATCAAAAGCTAATACCCTGTTCAGGAAACTTTGACTTGGAAAAACTACCAGTTTCTGGATTGACAGCCTTTCTCATGCCAAAGCTAGTAAGTCCCTAAGCCGTCCAAGGAAGCCTGTTCTTTGTGTGCCATTGCCCTTCCTCCTGGCTGTGCCCACAGTGGAGATCCAATCTGCTGATAAGATTTAAAGAGCACACAGATGAGAGGGTGATTTTTTTTTTTTTTTTTTTGACAGAGTTAGAGAGAAAGGTCTTCCTTCCGTTGGTTCACCCCCCAAATGGCTGCTACGGCCAGCGCACTGCACCGATCCGAAGCCAGGAGCCCATGCGGGTGCAGGGCCCAAGTACTTGGGCCATCCTCCACTGCCTTCCTGGCCCACAGCAGAGAGCTGGACTGAAAGAGGGGCAACCGGGACAGAATCCGGTGCCCTGACTGGCACTAGAACCTGGGGTGCTGGCGCCGCAGGCAGAGGATTAGCCTAGAGAGCCGCGGTGCCAGCCCACGAGAGGGTGATTTTAATCTGCCCCTGGGTCAGGTTTCCTGTTACCTTTCTGTTTATTTGCCCTTCATTCCAGGAAGTCTCAGCCCACACAGACCTTCTTCCACGGCTGGTTCCCCATGCAGCCCTGACCTTGAAACTCCTTCATTCAACAAATGACTTCATTTTAGACTTTTCGGTAGGTAGAGCCTCACTCATTGGCAATAAAGTTTAACATTCCAATAATGGGGGAAAATCAATTTCAACTATTCTGCACCATACTGATGTTTTAGAGAGATGCTAACGAGTAATAACAAGGGCTTGGGCGGTTGGGAGCAGTCAGCAAGTTGCTCGGGACGGTGCCTGCGGAGGGCTTGGCCTGCACTGTCACAGTTCTGGTTTGCTTTGCTGCTTCTGGAGCTGTGTGGGAAGGCGCCCCTTCCTACAGAGAGAAGGCCCGTCCGGCCACTTTGGGTCAGATAATCATCGAGACCACCAACATCTTTGGCTATCGTAGGAAATCCAGACACTGAGTCCCTGCTTTCTAGAATGCCAGTCCGCTTATTAAAAGTATGAGAGTTGCACTCTGTGGTTGTAACACAAGCTTCCAGAGAAGAGCTGCCTGCTCTTCGGCAGCCTGCGATGACAGAGAACGGGGAGGGTGCACAGTGACCGTGGACTCAGGTCAGCTAGCTCGTCACGTGGTGCCTCCTGGGTTCTCCCCAGTGCGGGGCCCAGGAACCCCCACTGCCTGGCACTCCCTCCACCTCCACGGTGGGTGGGAGGCATCCACAAAGCCAGTGGTGGGGGATTAGCGTAATAAGTTCATTTCCCACAGATTGCGCCAACAGAGGAGAAGCATGGCGGCCTGAGCGGGGATGACCCAGGCTGAAGAGAACAAGTCTTCGGTTCAGTACAGGAGACTTCTCCTCCCAGGTGAGCAGCTGTCAGAGCAGTTAGAGGAAAGCGGAATTCGGAGACCTTTGCTTGTTTTCCAGTTTATCAAAAGTTCCCCCTAAAGTAAAACATGTGCTTTGTGCATCTGGGGAAAGCGTACTTTTATTTCATCATGTGCCGAGTGAGCTGTGAATTCCTGCTGCAGAACGGGACAGGGACATGAGAGGGGAAGGTGAGCGAGACAGGGCAGAAGTCTGGTGCTTGGATGTTTGCTCACAGTGAATGCATGTGCAATCTCCAAACTGGTCATTTTGCTGTCTATAAAAGAATTTTTTTTATTTGACAGAGTTAGAGAGAAAGGTCTTCCTTCCGTTGGTTCATCCCCAAAATAGTCACTATGGCCAGCACACTGCGCCGATCCGAGGCCAGGAGCCAGGTGCTTCCTCCCATGCGGGTGCAGGGCCCAAGCACCTGGGCCATCCACCACTGCCTTCCTGGGCCACAGCAGAGCGCTGGATGGAGCAACTGGGACTAGAACCTGGTGCCCGTGTGGGATGCCGGTGCCGCAGGCGGAGGATTAACCAAGTGAGCCACAGCACCAGCCCCTGTAAAAGGGTATTTTAAGAAGGTCATGAAAATGAAATTGTTTATTTTGGTGCAAAAAAATTTGAAATCATGGTTGATTTTTTTTTCACATTCCACATTTTTCACAAGGTTGTAAAGACCCCCACCCCCTCACATGCATGGCCTTAAAATTCTGTGCACCAAAAGAAGCTAATCTTACAATTCAACTTCCTGCAAACTTAAAATTTTTAAAAATATTTATTAACTTGAAAGTCAGAGTTGCAGAGAGAAAGAGAGGTCTTCTATCTTCTGGTTCACTCCCCAGATGGCCTCAATGGCCGGAGTTGCGCTGATCCAAAGCCAGTAGCCAGGAGCTTCTTCTGGGTCTCCCACATGGGTGCAAGGGCCCAAAGACTGGGCCATCTTCAACTGCTTTCCCAGGCCATAGCAGAGAGCTGGATCGGAGGTGGAGCAGCCGGGACACAGACCAGCACCCGTGTGGGATGCTGACACTACAGGTGGCAGATTTACCTGCTACGCCACAGTGCCGGCCCCCTCCTGCAGACTTCTAGAAGTGCTCTCATAGGGTCTGATAGAAGAGTCACAGGTCACCAAAAGAAGGACACTGAATTCTGATTCTACAGGAGGACTCTATGATATCCACATTTCCTTTCAAATGGCAGAACGGCTTTTGTTGAGGATAAGTAATGACCATTCTCTTTCATTTAACCTCCTAGAGCAGATGTTTGCGGCTGCTTTCAAAGAAAGGTCAATCAGGCACGACGGAATAAACCCAGGAGAGGGCGCACAGGGGTAAACCTCGAGAGTGCTGCTGAGCCCGCCGATCTTTCCAGGTGCACTTCACGTCCCAGTGTCCTGGGTTCCGTCTGCAACAATGAGCTGGCGGTTTATTCGAGCTGCCTCAGAAAACACACACCCCCAAAGCGGAGAGAACTGTTGGGATCCCTACCATGTTAAAGGCATTGTTCTTTTCTTTCAAAGATTTATTTATTTGAAAGGCAGAGCAACAGAGAAGGAGAGAGAGATCTTCCATCCTCTGACTCACTCCCCAAATAGCTGCAAAAGTCAAGATTTGGCCAGGCCGCACTCAGGAGCCTGGAACTCCATCTGGGTCTCCCACAGAGGTGGCAAGGGTCCAAGGCACCTGCTGTTGCCTTCCCAGGCACATTAGTGCAGAGCTGGATCAGAAGCGGAGCAGCTACATCTTGAACCAGTGCTCTGTTAAGGGATACTGGTGTCGCATGCTGCAGCTTAACAGGCTGAGCCACAAAGCAGGCCCTCAGGGCATTGTTCTGTGGGCTCTGCATAGGACAATGAACCAAAGGGGCACGGCTGCTCTCTTCAGGAAGCTTGCACACAATTTACTATGCAGTGGAATCTTTAAGATACCAGCAGTGATGGCAGGGGTTCTGATGAAGATAAGACACGCAAATGGGATGCCTAGAAGATTCTGGGCAAAGAGATGATGTCTGTACAAACCTCTAGGCTAATAAGGTATATTCTGCTAGGTAGAGTGAACATACGTATTTGTGAAACCCGGTGCACCCTGATAACAGCATCTCAGCAGCCCTGGGAGCACCTATCCTCCAAAAGGGACTTAGCAATTCCTTTGAAAAGTCAGCACTACCCCGACGTCCCCAGCCCCACTCCCCACTCCTCTTGCCTACCTCTGAATTCCAGATGCATTTGCAAATATGGGGTTTTCGGATTGAGCTTTTCTGGATAGGTGGCTTTGGGACACAGCACCTAGGCTTCAGTGCACAGAGAACTGGGTGGTGTCTAATAATGCAAATAACCCAGGCCCTCCACCAGCAGTTCTTACTTGCATTCTAAATCATTCTGGCCTGCACTTAGACAGGTCATACGTGCCCAATAGGAACTTAAGTATCCCACATAAGCAGCCGTCTCATCATGGTTTCTGGGTTACTGCAGCTCGGTGGTATCTGCAGGGCCCCAGGCTCTCCCCTGCCTTCTCGGCATTTTAGCATTTCCTCTAGACACGTCTCTGCTCGAAGTCACAGATGCTGGGCTACAGGAGCCCGTCCTCTCACCATGCCACTTGACGATGGCACTAGGCAGTGCTCCCGGTCCGCCCATAGCTTCGTCTTGTATTCAGAAGCAGCCGCTCTCCCAGACACTCCCCACCCCCCACCCCCCCAGAGTCACCTGATGTGTTTTGGCTGGAACTGTGTCCCAAAGAGGTGGGACGTGTATTAGGGTCCTCCAGAGAAACAGAACCAGTAGAAAGGGTTAATGTGTGTGTGTGCACATGTGTGTGCATGCACTTATTTGTGTATATATGGGCTTCAAAAGGCACGGGGAAAGTGTGTATTATGAAGAAACTGTGCAGGGACTTCAAAATGTTTTGTGTCAAAACTCTTTGAATTCTAACTTGGGTAAATTTCCTTGAAGTGCCCTCGTGCACATATGCATATGTACAGAGATAATGGGCGTGTGATCAGTGATTGCCTGCATCCCGGGTCAGAGTGCCTGGTCTCCAGTCCTGGCACTGTCTCCGATTCCATCCTGCTACTCACATGCACTTTGGAGGCGCCAAGTGTTTGTGTCCCTGCCACCCAGCAACAACTGGGAAACTCCTGCCGAAGTGACACGCAGCGCCATCACAGGAAGGTGACTGGGGACAGTGAGATGGACTAACTTGACCAGAATCTACACCTGAGACAGCTGTGACCCATCCCCTAGGGCCATGCTGCTGCCTGAGCATGACCGGGGTCTGCTGTAAATGCAGCAGCAGAGGATGGTGGTTAGACTGACAACCACTGGTGTCTGCCCCGACCCCGAGAGGATTCTGCTGTAGGTGTCCAAGGACCACACTTCAGGGGTTGTCACACAGCATCGGGGTTCTACCAGGGTGATCAAGAAGCTTGAACCGTTTTCAGTGGCCAGGACCTCACTGAAGCAGTTGGTCAGGGTTGAGGCCTGAGTGTGAAGATCTTTGCAAAGCTGACTAAGTGATTGCAATGGGCAGCTGTGATTGAAAACTCGTGGGACCAATGTTTTGATTTCTCTGAACACAAGTCTGTGGAGATAATGTTAGTGGGATGCCAGTGTTTATCAATAGAGTTCGGGTCAGATGCAGATCGGTTGGTATGCAGTAAGGTGAAACCAAGCTTTGACAGGTGCAAAGTTTTGAATCTCAATTCCCCCTTCTCTTAAGCTAGACGGTTTCAGGGGCTGATTGAGAGTTTCCTCCAGAGAAACAGTGAGGAGTAGGCTGCCCTCAGCTGCTGTGCTAATTCTATATTGCTACAGAAACCGATGACCACAAACGTAGCAGCTGAAAATACCAACAACTTATCATTTTCCAGTTCTGTAGCAGTCCAGGCAGGCTAGGCTGGGTTCCACCCTTGCTCAGTCTCTCGAGGCGCTGGGTGGGCTGGGCTCCTCTCTGGAGGCTTGGGTAATCCACCTCCAAGGTGACTGAGGTTGCTGGTGCGATTCAGTCTCCTGTCGGATGTAGGACTGAGGCTCCTGGGTTTTGTGTTGGCGGTGGATGTCAGCTGTGGGCCCCTCTCTACTCCTGCAGGCCATCACAGTGCTCTCCGCATTCAAAGCAACCACAGGACGTCAAGTCCTCAAGCCGCAGCTCTCTCGGACTTTATTCTGGCCCCCTTGGAAAAACTATCTTCACAGGTTGATGTGATGACCCTGAGCCTGAGGGAGTAAGTAACCCAAGATAATCTCCTTGTTTATTAAAGATTATTTATTCACCTTCCTTGTAAGGTTAGAGACCGAAGTTACCACTACCTTGTAATATAGCATAATCGTGGAAGTGACACTGTGTTTCCAGGTGCTGCGCCCAGAATGGGACATCGTTGAGAGGCTGCTTCAGAAATTCTGCCCCCACAGCTGTCCTTCCAGCTCCCTGTCCAGCGTCCCTTCATCCCAGGTGCTCTTAGCCATCCTTGAATATTTTTAAGAATTTTTATTTATTTGAAAGGGAGCCGAATGAGACGTGATTCTTGTCCTCTGAGAGTCTGAAATGTCATCTAAGTTTCAACTAAACACAGAAAGATTGTCTCCTGGAAGTCATTTAGTACAACGGCCATAAGATTCCAACTAGTGATCTTATTTTACTTTATTTTTTTGTCTTGAACTCATCTCCTCACTCTTAAGATCAAGACCAGGGTGTTCCATGGGTGAGTTGGTGAATAGGAAAATAACAATAGACTCTGTCCTGAAACCCGAAACCAGCTCAGGCATGCGGCTTTAACACAGAGAATTCTCTGCAATACGTATATTTGTATGTTCGTGTGGAGTTTGTGCAGCGGCTTTCCACACCACGCTCCCCTGCCTCTCTGACAGGATGAGAGGCCCTTAACTGTTTCAGAGTTCTTTGATCCAAGAGCTTAATAAGTTGCAGCCTCAGGAACAGCTCAGACCTGATCTTTGTTCTATATTTTAAGACCTGACTGTAAAGATCAAGAACTTGC